ATCTATAAGGCGCTCTAATTAATTGTTAATGACTCATTTGGACGGATTATTAGTGTTGTAACGATTTGTAATGACGCCTAAAACACATCTCACACATGTGAATTATTAAATGCCACATTACATAATCCCATTTGAATTATTCAGACGGGGCACCAAATCATCTGTTGGGCCGCTTATCACTTGAATGCCATTAGCATAAACATACTATATTGGGTCAATAAGGGACTTTAAGTTCATTAATTTAATTACAGCTTTAAAAGGATCAAGTCTTGAATTTGTGACTTTAAACGAATTAGTTAAAAATCAATTACTTATATTATAAAACAAACTTTATGTAAATGTGAAAGAGAGAAAGAGAGAAAGAATGAAAGGTCAAACATTAAGCATTTCGGGGAAGTTTAGTAATCGAATATTAAACCAAGTTTTGACTTAGTTTTTGTAGATTTTTTGAATAGTATTTACTCTAGTTTAAACTTCCACTAAAAAACCACGAACTCCTCTATAGGTAAACAAAGATACATAATTCCAGTCTGCACTGATAAATTTATTAATTTTCTCTTACAAATCAAGACTTTATCTTCGTGTTTCTTACACACCTGAAGCGTTAAGTACATCAAACCAAAACAAGTTGACTCTGACAGATATTAACATTGACATTTCCGACAAAAACATTAACCCTAATCGGATATAATTTCCCATCAAGATGTGATATTATTCTGTTTTGCTTGGCTTGCTTGCTTCCCCCTGGCGTTTTCTTTTGATTCCTATCTTACTTTCAACACTTTTTGTGGCAAATTAAATTAAATCATAATTTCAATTACCAGAAAATTGACCACAAAAGCGGCCAACGGTCATTACTCTGACTCTCTGTCTCTCTCTCACTCTATAGACCCAGCTCGCTCGCTCCCACTGCCGCTCAATTCATTAACACTTCAAAGTTTTCTCGGCTAAGGAGCAAGCGAGAGGGGAGAGCGAGCAAGTGAGAGAGAGGGCGATAGCACGCAACAACACTCGAGGCGTTCGTTAATTTGTTAGATGAACAACAAGCTGCTGTCGCATCTAAGGTTCTGGAAACCCCTCCGCCCTTCAAGAAGTAGAAAAAAAATGTTCACAGCCTCCGGCCAAAGGCAAACAATAAATAAGCGCAAAAGAGCAAGAGCTAGTGGGGGGAAAGAGAGAGAGAGAGAGAGAGGGAGAGGGCCAGATATATAGGGCGCACCGCAAACCGGAAAGAACTATTGTTCCGGAAAAGTATGCCCAGCTAGTTACGAGCAGAAAGGGAGAGCAAAAAAAAAAAAGCAAAAATGATTTCGCACAAACTTTTCTGTTTAGTCAATCATTTTAATTAAGTAATTTTTTTTTCGCCTACTTGTCGTAAAAGTTTTAATAGCAGACCAGCGGGCAGAGAGGAGGAATCCTGCAGGATGGGTATCCTGGATGTTAGGGCTCCTGGCTGGTGGACTGCATTTTGCGGTTAATTATAATGTTGGGCCTGATTACATTTGCCATGTCGGCGACTGGGACTCTCTCTCGCTCTGTGGGTGACTTTCAGTTAATTGCCGAGATTTGAAGTTAGTTAAATGTGGCACAAGTTGTTTGCAGTCGCCTTGTTTTGTTCCTCAGTCAAGTTGTCGTTGTCGAGTCCAGGTCATAAAACGGCAATAAAAAAGTTGCTCGCAACTTTTATTAGCTGCTGATCACAGAGTTTGCCCCACTCTCCAGTTTTCCCAGTTTCCCACTTTCCCAGTTTGTTGCACATTTCTGGCCCGACCGCGTAATTAATTAAGTTTAGTTTCCAGGCATCAAGAGAATTTAAGTGAAATCAATGAATCTGTCCCCCCCTGGCAAAGGCCCTGGCAAATCCGTGCTTTTCACTCGGTTCAGGACTCAGGACTCAGGACTTTCTATCTACCTTGCCCCAAGTTCCGGCCGCTGATGTTGGGTAACTTTTTACCCGGCTACGCAACGAAGTTTCAAAGAGAACTGAACCCAATCTGCCTCAACTGCAGGTGAATGTGAATGGATGCTCCTTGCATTTTAAGTTCTGACTGCTCCCGCGTCCCCCTTCTATCGGTGGTGTCCCGGAGCCATACGCTTGATTTCCTAACTAAGCACGCAAATGAAGCGTGTGCCCATCAAGGATGCGACTCTATCTCTCTGCGGTTGCACATGCCATTTATACATACATATATAGCCGGTTGCGCGTATATATCCACCTGGTGGAGCAGCACAAGGACCCGGAATCGTGCAACGTGGCGACAACCGCAGAGGAGAGAGAAAGAGAGAGTGAGTAGTCCGGACTCCAGAGGGGCTGAAGCTCAGTTCGTGTTTAATCGTAGAAATTATGCAATTGCCAGGCGGCGGACTGAATCCCTCTCCCGGCACTGTGGTTCCAAGCACGATGAACATGCGGAACATGTTACCCAAAGAATAACATTTACCTTATTTACGCCCCCCTTGGTTAAATAAATAAAATCACAGGATAGTTTGGGATTAAATGATGAATGGTTATTGATGACATCTAAATCTATGTGCATAGACTCCCTCTGGCAACGGCTTTAAACCCAAATAATTGGAGTTTGGAGTCCGTTCAGGCTCATGTGCTATGTGCCCCAAACACACACATTTGACAATTCGACAGCGCCAACTGTCGCCAGAGTTTATTAGAGGGGCCAAGAGGGCACAAGGGGTAGGCCATGGCTATGGAGAACGTGTCTGGGCAATTAGCAGATCGCACATCTAGTTCTGCCTACCGACTGAGGTGGTGGTGGTTGCCTATATATATAGGCCAGGCCACAGTCGCCAAAACTCAGTTGCCGGTGTGTGGAAGTTTTGTTTTGTCTCCCGTCCGTCGTCCCGTCCAACAGTAATTGAGAAATCAGTGAGATTCAAATGGCGGCCACCAAATACGATAGCTTTGAGAAGATATGGTCAGGCCCAAAGGACAAGGAGTACTACGGTCCGGATATGACGCTCGGTGAGGTGGCCTTGATCATCCTGCGGCTTTACTCGGACAAAGTGATGCAGGTGTTCGATCCCACGGGCGAGGAGCTCACTGGAGGGCAGCTCTTGGAGCAGAGTCGTCGCCTGGCCCATGCTTTTCAGCGTCTGAAGTTGCAGCGGGGCGATGTTGTGGGCATCTCGGCCAAAAACACCAGTTACCTCACCGAAGTGGTTATTGCAGCCCTACTTAATGGCACTCCCATCAATCCACTGCATCCGGATTTTGATTCTGGTAAATCTCGAACACAGAATTTAAAGAAGAAATATTGTTTACTATATAACCATCAGAAACCATGGCCTATATGTATGAGATCACCAAACCCAAGGTTATATTCTGCGACCTGGACAACTACGAGACCTTGAGCGCGGTCAAGAGCAGTCTCAAGTTTAAGACGGAGCTCATCCTGCTTACCGGAACATTGCCTGGAGTACGCAACATTCAGGATCTACTGGCAGATGGCTGTACCGAGTACGATGAGAAGACCCTGTATGTAAACCAGACTTTTATGATTAAGGGAAACCTCTAATTTACTTTGTATCCTTGTAGTTTTGCCTGCCCGCATTTGAGCGGCGATGACACGGCCTTCATAATCACCTCCTCGGGTGTAACTGGTTTGCCCAAGGGCGTAAGTCGTTCGCACCGAAGTCTCCTGAACAATGCCAAAATGTGAGTTGTTTTGCGGCATTCCCTCAAAGCTTTTCCATAATGTTGAATAACCCCGCAGCCCTCAGCTCTTCACCTCGGAGACAGTGCTGTTCTGCTTCAGTCCTCTTTACTGGATCAGTTGCATCTTCACTCTGCTCGCTTCCCTGGTCAATGGGTGTCGTCGGATTATTACCAACCGTCCGTATAGTGTGGAGTACTTTGCAGATCTGGTGGAGCGTCACAAGGTGACCTTTGTGCTCACCGTTCCCCACCACATGGCTCTCTTGGCCCGAAGTCCCGAACGTTTTCGGTTAGCCGAAAAAATGCACAGTGTCCAGTCCTTTGTGTGCAGTGGATCCAAGGTTCCCTTGGGCATTTGGCGGCAGTTGTATGAGCTGCTAGGTGCCGATAGGTTCGCCGTACTCTATGGTCTCTCTGAGATCGGAGGAATCTCGAAAAATGTGGGCGGTCCGCTGGGCAGCGAGGGCAAGCTGTTGCGTAACATTCAGGTGCGACTGGTTGATGGACAAGGTCAGTACTTGGGTCCCAACCAGACGGGTCAGATCCTGGTGCGACTTAACTTTCGCTGGGGAGGCTACTACCACAACCCGCAGGACACTCAGATGACGGTTACACCCGATGGAAAATGGTTGCTGACCGGGGACCAAGGCTATTTCGATGACGACGGCTGCCTGCACTACCAGACACGTGACACCGACGTCTTCAAGTACAACCACTTTCCCATCTATCCCAAGCAGATCGAGGATGTTATACTTCACCTGCCTGGAGTCCATGAAGTGGCTGTCTTTGGAATACCCGATGAGATCTCCACCAATCTCACTGCCTGCGCTGTGGTTCGTGAGGAGAATGAGTTTGGGGAGCAGCTCACAGATCGTGATGTAAAGGGAATCGTAGAGCAACATCTGAGCGAGGCTTTCCACATCAGGGGCGGTGTCTTCTTTGTGGACAAACTCCCAAAGACGCAGAATAACAAAGTGCAGCGGAGGAGAATCTGGCCGGAGCTGAGTGAGGCCACCACCCATCTGTAAGGCAATCTCTGTTACAAAAATAAACGTCACCCGTTGGACAAAGTCGTGCACTGAAGAAGTAAACACAATGACTCAGCCAAAGAGGCTGAAAGTTTCCATATCTGTTCTGTCTGGTGGACTGCTGGTATTGATTAGCAGTCCGGCTGAGATGCGAATGAGTAAATCAGCATCTATTTTAGATGTCACCGGGGACTGGGATGCGGCATGTCCGACTAATTAGCAGCTCCGCATTTGTTTCCTCTAGCCGGTGCCATATAAGAACCAAATGAGGCGCAATAAAGCACTTATTCGTTTGCCAGCACGATGAGCTGTGAGGTGCACTACGACGCCGCATCGCGGACTTGGTTTGGACCGCGGGGCAAGGACTTTTACGGTCCGGAGATGACCCTCGGCGAGGTCATCATGCGTGTGCTGCAGATTAATGCCGACCAGGTGATGCAGCATTGTGATCCCACGGGTCAGGAGCTCACCGGGAGCCAGTTGGCTCAGCAAAGTGCCCGGCTTGCCCAGGCCTTCAAGAGGCTGGGATTGAGACGAGGCGATGTTATTGGCATCTCGGCCAATAACTCCACCTACCTGACCAGTGTGGTCATCGCAGCTCTGCTAAGAGGCATACCCATCAATCCACTGCATCCAGAGTTTACAGAGGGTAAGAAGAACATAGTATTGTGAAATCAATAAGATAAAATAATATTTTGTTTGGCATTTCTCTCTTTCAGAGACTGTCAAGTACATGTACGATATCACAGAGCCCAAGCTCATATTTTGCGATGTGGGAAACTATCACATTATCAAGTCAGTTAACGAGAAATTGATCAATCCTGCCAGGATATATCTGGTAAATGGTCAACTAGAAGGAGTACTAGATATAAGTGTCCTGCTCAATGATGATGAATCTATTACAGCTGCCGCGTAAGTAATCGCTTTATAAATAATAATTTTTATAATAATAACTTATTAATGAAATCTTTAAAGCTATGTGCCTTGTCCCAAGTTGCATGGTGATCATACGGCCTTTATTGTTTGCTCCTCGGGAACTACAGGAATGCCCAAGGGTGTGACAAGATCACATCGGAGTCTGCTGTGCAATTGCAAGAAGTAAGTAAGAATTGGAAGCTTTTATAGTTAAATTTAAATCCAATTGAAATATTCTTTTATAAACCTTATCTAAAAATAATTCCTCTTTCTTTCCTGCAGCCCCAATACCTACACCAGGGACAGCATACTGCTCTCATTTAGTCCCCTTTATTGGATATCGGGAACCATAATCCTGTTGGCTTCCCTGCTCAACGGCTGCCGACGCATCATCACCAACCGACCTTACAGTGTGGAGTACCTCCTCCAGTTGGTGGCCAATCACAAGGTCACCTTCCTCTTTCTGGCCTCTCATCAAATAGCTCTTCTCTCCAAGCACGATTGCGATCTTGTAGAGCTGAAAGCCCAGCTAAGCTCCGTAAGAGTCCTGATCGGAGCTGGTTCTAAAGTGTGTAAGGCGGTCTCCCGGCGGATGTACGAACTGATTGGTAACCAGCGATTCATCGTCGGCTACGGCCTCTCTGAGATGGGAGGACTGAGCAAAAATGTGGGCGGCCCGGTGGGCTGTGAGGGCAAGGTCATGAGGAATGTAGAACTGCGCGTCCTGGACAAACTGAAAATGCCCCTTGGTATCAATGAGGTGGGCATAGTCTATGCCCGTTTGCGATACAAGTGGGAAGGCTATTACCGGAATCCGGAGGCTACCAGGAGAGCCCTCAGTTCGGATGGATTGTGGTTTCGAACCGGCGACATTGGTTACCTGGACAGCGAGGGCTATCTGTACATTCAGACGCGTGACACGGATGTCTTCAAGTTCAACAACTTTCAGATCTATCCCGAGCAAATCGAGGAGTTCATCCTTAGATTGCCAGGCGTAAGTGAAGCCTGTGTCTTTGGAATCCCCGATCAGGTGTCCACCAACCTCACGGCCTGCGCTGTTGTGAGAACCAAAAGCCTGGAAGGTGAACGTCTGCAGGCGGAACAAATCCGAAACATTGTGGAGCGGCACTTGAGTGGAGCCTACCACATAAGGGGTGGCATTTATTTTATAGAAAGCCTGCCGAAAACCCCCAATGACAAGCTGCAGAGACGCAAGGTGCTGGACCTCGTGCGAGAATTGGGAATAGAAGCTCAATAAAGGATGGTTAAGGATACAAAAGAAGTAATTTAAAGTTAGTAAATGAAAAAACTGAAAACTAATACAATTGATAAAATATTATATATATTAGCCAGGAAGGCATTTCCTTTATTTCATCAGCAAATTCACCCATGCCAACCCACTGTGCATGCTTAGGGGCTGATGGCTAACTAATGCCGGCAACTCAATGAATTCTAATCGAGATTCAAATTGTAAATGCTCTGGGCCAGGCCCTGCGAGGAATGGCCCCAGTTTGGGGCCGAGGCTGAGGCTGAGGCTGAGGCAATGCCAATGACAAGCAATTTGTTATTTGTGGCACCCCTGTGGCTCTCCGACTCTAGTTGATGGCGGGCAGCTAGGAACATCGCACTCGGACAGATATTCTACATAAAATGAATTGAAAAATTAAAATTGCAATATGCAATTGGCAATGGGCAATGGGCAATGGGCAGCGACAGGCGATGGGTAAAACATACATATTTTATTGGTTTCTGTTTCTGTTTTGGGGTTTTAAGGACTTTTAGGACCGAAGCCAGTCCGGACATTTTCGACATTTGACAAATGCCGAAATGAAATGCTCGACAAAACACGATTCAATTTGCCAGTGATGGTATGGTGCCTCTGCCAGTGTCCAGCGTTCTGTGGAAATAGCGTAATAGAGTGAGAGGAGACTAAGCCCTATAGCCACATGGTCCATTCGGATCGGGAGGGTCTTAGCCTCTCCTGGCCTGGTCTCGTTCGGTGTCTATGGCCGTCTGCATTCTTGCAACTAATGCGGATTATCCCGGGCTTTGCAAACTGCACCCAAGGTGTAAATTTGTGTGCCAGGGATTTGCATGACCAACGAATAACTGAATGAATCAAGGCATAGATAGGTCGGTGAGTGAATGAATGGGGTGAGTGAATGAATGGACGTAGGCAAGTGAGTTGCTTAACAATTTCCTGCTAGAGGATAAACCCAAGGAGGTCAACATTCCCTTCACTCCTAAGCCTCTTTCCCCTAACAAAATATAATATATGTGCAAAACTGGACTCGGTTAAAAACTTTGAGTTTCAAATAAATTGCATCAATATTTTTAGTTTACACCAAAATTGTTTTGAAAACCTAAAACCTCCACTTGTTTATTTTGAACTAAAACTCAATTTCAATTTAGTGGCTCACTTTGTGAAATTGGATAATAAAATGCCAAGTTTTCCTTCGAGAAATGTGCTAAAATATGGTAAGCGGACATTTCTTTTTTTTTTATAAATTTACATCTCCTAAATGCCTCTTTGAAAACTATTTGGTTATGCAATTGGATTTGACCAGCAGGTAACTATTATAAAAATAACATGCTCACAACCATATTGTTTGCATTTTATTTGCTTTTTCGTACAGCAAATATTTTCAGGAAACGAAAAGCAACAATTTATGCTTTAAAATTTCATCAAGGAAATGCGCAGCATATGGAATCACATGTAAACAAGGACAACAATAAAACTGTACCGACAGGAGCACGACGGAAAGTGCAACAGAAACAGGACCAAGCCCACTCAACCCAACCCGAATCGGGATAAAGGGGAAGTTTGTTATGTTTCCAGGTTGGTCCTGTAATTAAATAAACATTTTCGGCGCTACCCCCATATGGATCTATTCACAAAGACCGAGAGAGAGGAAGAGAGAGAGAGATATCCCGCATATGTCCTGCGCCAGGGAACATGTCCTGCGCCTCGATCGCTCAACTCGCACACATCTGCCGTGCGTTGATTTCGCCCCGAGGAGGGTTGAAAATGTTTGCCCAGCTCATAGTGGTGGCAACTATTGCAGCCACAAAGGACTCGTGGAAAAAAGCCGTTACTTTCAGAGCACACCTGGAACAGTATGGAGTGGCACAAGTCCTCATGCAAATGCAACTATCATGAGTTTTTAATTGTCTGCTGGTGGAACTTGTACACATAAAAGAAGAGTAATTATCAAAATAAAACATTTGATGATCTAAAGGATAACTTAAAAACCTTTGTCAAATTATTCATTCGAATAGAAATCATCACAAGTTGAAGGGCTTGCTAATGCTTTTCATTGGTTAAGTATAGAAATGGATTGTTGAACTAAAACTGGTTAAAAAGAATAGGAAAAGAATATTTAATTGAGTTTCCTTTAATTTAGATTAGATCATTTTCATTAGTTATAGGTTTTGGGCATCTTTATATCAAACTTTTTGCCATATTCTTTTATAGACTTTATAGTCGACCCACCTCACTCACTTACTTGTACTTACTTAATACAATTTATCTGCTTTCTTTCTATTTAATCGAACTCCCACAGTTTAAGGTACATTGCCTCAAATGTTAGCCCAACTTTTAACCTTAATTTTCCACAATAAAAGCCTAGTTGGACCGCAGTAAGTGCCCCAACTGAGGCACGCGTGACAGAGGCAACTGAAACCACAAACTGGGCTGCCAGGAACTTGCAATGTGAATTGTCTGTGGTAAGGTGATATTTATAGCAGCTAGCTCACCTCCAGGGTCCAGGCGCAAGGGCCACATTCAAATCAACTTCAAGCTCATGCAATTTTTATGCCACACCCACCCACGGAGCCACTCAACCACTCGCCACCCACCTTTGGGCCTACACGTGCATCTGACTTGTGGTCATTCGGCAGCAGTCCCAAAAGAGTGGAGCAAGTAAGCGTGGTCCTAGGAATGGTCAGGGACATCTCGCCATGTTTGTCGGTTAATAAATTGTATGTTTTTGTTGCCCTGCGGTCGCCGGAGCCACCCAACACCCACCACCGCCCTGTGGAGGACCGTGCATATATTACCCGCCCTTTTATCGAGCATTTTTATGCGATTTCCCGGTGTCGACCTGCTGCGGCTGATGCTTTTATCTGCTCAATGCGCTCGAGCGTGCCCTGGCTGCCAATGAGGCATAAATTCTTGATTTCACGCACTTTTGATTGATGGCAAAGGAAGTGCGAAAATCCTTACCACACAGAGAGAAAAAGTCATATAAATGGATCAGGAGTGCAAGCTTTTAATGGTTTGCAAACTTTAGCAATACAGTTTGAGATATTGATTCATATTTACTAGTTAAGGAATAATTAGAAACTGATTTAATTATGTTCATTATATGTAAAAGATGTCTTATTTTCCCACAGTGTACAAATGATACTGGTCTAATGCCATCTTCAAGAATGCGGGGCTGTTTAAGGCTCTCCAAAATCTCCAAAAGCGCCAAAAACACACAAAATTACAATCGGATTCGATGTAAAGCTGCGGGCCTCCAAAAGATAAACAGAAAACTTATCCCCACACAATAGAATCAGAATGCGTGTATATATTTTGTGTGTTGGTGTGACAAAAGTAGGCCCGATAAGAATTTGAATGGAAAAGGTGCATCTTAAGCTCGGCCAGAGTGGCAAAGTATTTAAAGCGCTTTCACATCCGGGTTAAGATAAGCCAAAGAAAGGCGTTTGAAAAAATGCAAAACCACATTGATATAGGCTTTTAAATGCTCTAACTTATTGGAACTATAACTTTTAAGAACTTAAGGAAGTTGTGATAAATAATGCACTCTATAATTATATTATTATATTAAATTTTATATGCAGAGAACCTATCAAAGACATTGCATTCTTCTCAATATTCAGTCTGTTCCCTGCTCTGTTTAATAATTAATTAATTAATTAAAGTGATTAGAATCAGGAACAGAGAAAATATAATTGGAATTCATCATAAGGCGAAGCTCAAGTTCTATAAATAAATGCCATACTCTTTCGATTCTCAGTATATGTAGTTAAATGTGTTTGGAACCCTTAACCAATAGTTCCTTCGGCCGACGTAAGGATCCGCAGCTGCTATGTTGGCTTTAATTTCCTTGGGACAGGAAGCCCACCACCGGAAAACTTTCTTGGCCTGAATGGGAGCACAATAGCAGAAAAGCAGCAGAACAGCAGCAAGGCGGTAGTTGGGAAAAAAAAAGGGACGCGTGTCCTAACGCCTACCAGCCGTCTGTCTGGCCACGCTTCGCAGCACCTACGCAGGACCATAGCGGGATAGGGGTAGGCTACATATACATACGTCTTAGGGCAAGGACGAGGTCCTGGCACACGCCGCTGGCGTCTCAGTTGAGCGCGTCTTGGTCAGGGCCCACTGAATAATAGTTCACTTTTCATCGCAGATAAGGAAATATATAAATAAGCATTCACGAATGGCAGATCCATCCCTCCCCAGTCGCCACCATCCCTCGGCCTTACACATTTTCTCTCACATTTCTTCTATGTGGATTATAATTTCTGTAGACACGCAACTGAACGCCCACAAACGCCCACGTTTAGGCCAGAATCTACACTGAGAGAAATCAAACTGGGCCACGAATGGGAAACTTTTTATGGGTATTTATATATAAATTTGATATAGTTTGAGATTATTTTATATTAAGAAAATATGGGTATTTATATATAAATTTGATATAGTTTACCTGTTCAAATAATTGAGGAAACGATTTTCCTGTAAGAAAAAAAAAACATATTAACGAATTAAAATATAAAGTTTATATACTTCTTATACAAATGTATTCCTTATTTATATGATTTCTTGTTACTTATTTTATTTAACTCACAATTAAATACATTTTACCCTTAAAAGTTCACTAGACATAGGAAAAATCTAGGAAAATCACAGGAAATAAATCCAAGTTTCAAGTTGTAATCATTTTCCTCAGTGTATTCTGGAATTCATCATTAAATTACGCCTGCCAAGAAAAAGATGAGGAGAAAAGGAAGCCGCACCAGTAGAAGATGAGAAAAAGAAATCATTTATCCTGGCCCTGGACCAAGGCTCGGTTGAAAAGGAAGCAAAATTTTCATAGAATTTTCCCGTACCATGTTTGTCATGCAATGCGAGGGAAAAACAAACCCCCCGCCCGTCAATTCCGGACGAAGCTTAGTTCATTTGCTGGCAGAAAAATAAGCTTGCCTTTGCTTTATTTAAGCAAATATTTGATATGCTCCAGAGCCCTG